TATGAAATGAAATTCTTATCATGAGCTAACCTAATTGGCTGCCTAATATGATGCGGCATTATCCATCTTGATTTATACCACACATGATCTATATTATATATATATATATATATATAAAAATAAGATTATGAAATGAAATTCTTATCATGAGCTAACCTAATTGGCTGCCTAATATGATGCGGCATTATCCATCTTGATTTATACCACACATGATCTATATATAGAAAAAAATATATCATTTAGAAATGTTTAATCATTATTTTATATATGTGCAAAAGGGAAAGCTATTAAGATATTTGAAAAATCAACATATTAAACTAGCTTGATTTCTATCCTAGAAGACTCGAAACTATATGAAAATTTCATGATGCACATTTGATGATATTTTGAACAAGATGTATAGTGTCGATTATGAATATGATGAGTCGATTAGTCTAGTTCATGATAAGATTTGAGCTTATCAGCTCACAATATCATTACTCTATACACACACATATACAGGGTGCAACTAATTTAGTTACGCACATTTGTCAAAATACGTTCTTGTCCATATATATTGTAATCCAAACGGTTCATTGTTATCTATTTGTCATAAAATGTGTGCGGATCAAAAATCATCTAGGTAGGAATTTTCTATCCTGTAGTTCAAGCAACTCAAAATACTCCACATTTTAGACTGCTATAGACCGTTCATTTCTAGGTCATTAGATGTATAAACTAGAAATATCTATCTTTATGATTTTTTATCTCTATGAAGCTTTGAATGCATAGAATCATCATAATGAACGGTGTGATTCTTTAATATTTATTTGTGGTTCGTTAATATTTATAGGTATGTAGTTATATATATGTATGGAAATGATAAGCATGAGGTGGTGGCTTATTTTGCTAAATGAGCTACTAAGAGATAGAGTGGTGAGGTCCACACCTTTTGATGTGACTAACAAGATGGCCTCACCACATGGCTATTTCTTAGTAGCTCATTTAGTAAAATGAGTCGCTACCTCATACCCATTATTTCCTACACACACACACACATATATATATATATATATATATATATATATTTGATGTGACTAGTAAGGTGAGCCTCACCACGTGACTATTTCTTGATAACTCATTTAGTCAAATGAGCCGCCACCTCATACCCATTATTTCCTACACACATACATACATAAGGAGTAAACATTTAGGGATTATTTTACTCTCCTGATATTAGTGACATGGCCTGGTCAATGGACGATTACCCTAACCCAAATATAATTTCTCCTTCGATGGATATTAGCACCACTTTTAAATTTTTCTTAAAAAAGATATTTGTTGGACATTTTAGCATCTACACTATGAGAAAATTTTTGCAGGAAACCATCTATGGGGTGTTTTTTAAAGGTGTTTCGAGGTACTGGTCCCCTTAATGTTAGGTCATTTGAAATAGGTTCCAGAAGTCATTATGAGAATGTCCTCCAATTTAGACGTGTGAACTTAATTTTAAAAAATGAGTGGTAGTTAGTTTTTCTTTTTTTAATTTCTTGGTATACCATCTTCATCCTTTACCCATCTAACGATAATATTCTAAGGTCTCTTCCCTAAATCCATTAAAATCTCACTTTTGTTATCCAATGATCTTTTGTTTGATGAAAAAAAAGTGAGGTTTTAATGGGTTCTGAAACGAGATTTTAGAATATTACAGTCAGGCTGGATTGAGGAAGAAGGTATAAGCTGAGACTAAAGAAACTAACCCTCGTTAGTGCTCTTGGGCTTAAGTTAACAAATTTTAAACTACAAGAATCTATATAGGGTAATCAAAGAGATTTGACGACTTCTTTTTCGTAATAAGGAGTTTGCAGGTCCTGTTTCAAATAACTTGAGTTTTGGGGGAACAATGCATCAAAAGTCAAAACCCTTTTTTAAAACAACTTAAAAGAAATTCGGGGGTCTCATTTAGAAATATGAAGATTTAAGGGTCTAATATGATAAAAGCCCTCTTCATTGCTATCATCATTATTTGAAAACAATGTCTACCTTATCTACTACTACACATGTCCTCTCAGCTTCCCTAACTATGTCATGCATCGTCATCTCTATATCAATCAATCGTATTAAACCCATCAGTTACCTCATTATATGTCACTCCACCTTTCTAACATGGCATGACTAACAAACCAGTTCTGTTAAAAGAGTATCAAATAGAGTAACATAGAAGTATAGAGATGTTGGTAGGTAGAGGAGAGCTTACAACATAGAGTAAGTGAACTAAATAGATAAAACTACTGATTAAGAATGCCAAACTTCAGCAAGTAGAACTGAATAATGGATAATATTTGTTGCTTTTGAACAACTTTAGCTGAAAATGCACTGATTTCTTTCTTTCTACATGAGCTGTCCCATCGATTCAAATTTATTGTAATTATTAGTTTGTTTGTTGATGATGGCAATTAGATTATGTGCATCACTACTTTTTCCTTGTGCAGATATAGTGTTGGTAGTGGATTCAATGTGATTGCTGCTCACACGGACAGCCCATGCTTGAAGCTGAAGCCGAGATCTACTGGCTCCAAAGCTGGGTATCTAATGGTAAATGTGCAGACTTATGGAGGTGGATTGTGGCACACTTGGTTTGATAGAGATTTGAGTGTAGCTGGGAGAGTTATACTAAAAGCTGGAGATGGGTCTTATGTGCATAAGCTTGTCAAAGTGAGGAGACCAATATTACGTGTTCCCACTTTGGCCATACATCTTGACCGGTTAGTTTGCTCTGCTCATCGTTGTCTTGAATTGTGATTCAAAGTATGTCTAGTGACCACCAATGTGGTTTCATATGGTTTCCCATTGCGACTGTTGAAATTACTGGCAAAGTTGGACGGTTGATATCAGGGGTAAAGAATCTCCTTTTGCAAATATTTCTACCCAGTTCGGCAGAATGTATTTAGTATTACGGATCGGGTGAACGAAGTAGAGGACCAATTTCATGTGAAGACGCATTGATGGAAATCTTTTGATCAGTTCCACTATGCATATCCCTTGAGATCTCTGACATTCCCGATCAGAATACAGAAGAAAAGGAAAATGAGGGTCTTTCCTTGGTGTCCTTAACTCCATTTTCTTTTTGTTGATTTTTAGCTAATTTCATAAGCCAATGGACAATGCAAAGTGTATAATAGCTTGGGTGATTAATTTGAGAGAGGGTTAACTAGTAGGTGTAAGGAGGGCATGAAGGAAAGGAAATACAGGATGATGAAGATGAAGTATGATGTGGCACTTCCACTTCATTTACTGGTTGTACACTTATTGCAGTTAATCACAATGATAAATGTTCTTTCTGATCATTGTTTTGTACATTTAATTACTGATAAGCTCTTGTACTTGAATTGTTCTGTTGTAAGCTCCTCATCCATATACCTTATTTTTTAATATATTTGTTTAAAAATTGATTGTGGAGTGAAATTTAATTAATTAATTTATTTATGTTTTTTTGAGAAAGAGAAGATTTTCCCTTTTCGGAAAAAAATGGCTTCTTCTCTAATGGGGAATAGTTCACACCAATTTTTTTTCTCAGTAGCCAAACTTGCTGTGCTAAATTTTAATGTACTTGCAATATGGTTATAGCTTGAAGGCATGACTACACTAACTTTAGTTTTTTAGTTTAGCTCAGTGAACACGGAAGGATTTAAACCCAACTTAGAGAGTCACCTTGTTCCACTCCTTGCAACAAAATTTGAGGAGGCACAAGTGAAGTCTGAGGATAAAACTATTTTATCATGCTCTTCAAAAAGCCTTCACCATTCGCTGCTTCTGCAGGTATTTTTTTGTTCTTTGGTGTTTTTTGATCCAATGTTAGATGATCAATATCACAATTATAGTTTCAAATGTAACTCTGGAATGATGTTAGTCATTGTCAGATATTTGAATCAAAATTCAGATATTGGGATGTTGTTCTCATGGTCTCCTAATTTGCGTGATTCACTATTCAGATTTTGTCTGAGGAACTTTCTTGTGATGCTGATCAAATAATGGGTTTGGAGTTGAACGTTTGCGACACCCAGCCGAGCTGTCTTGGAGGCGGAAATAATGAATTTATCTTTTCCGGTAGACTTGATAATCTTGCTTCAAGCTATTGTGCACTTAGATCTCTTCTTGATTCTTGTAAAGCACCTGGAGATTTAGCAAATGAGCAGGCTATCAGAATGGTTGCTCTATTTGATAATGAAGAGGTAACTTTATGCTAGATAGACTATGAACTATTGTTTTAAAGAAAAAGAGTTGCTTCTACGATGTGCTATATTTTCTCTATTTACAATGTATGAACATTAGTTTATATGATATTATCTATCTTAAAGTCTCAATTTTATAGGTGGGATCAGAGTCAGTTCAAGGGGCAGGTGCTCCTACCATGTTCCAATCCATTAGGCGCATTGTTGATTGCTTATCTCATGAGTACATGGGAGAAGGTGCTTTTGAACGTGCAATACACTCTTCCTTTCTTGGTATGACATTTTTCTATTGTTTTTTTTTCTTTTTTATGAAATTTGTGTTTTCCCCCCTTTCTATGCTTGTGAATGGGCAAAATAAATAAAGGATGTTTATGTTTCAATACCCATTTGCATTTAATATCAATGAACAAGAGAAAAATGTCATCTAAAAAACTCATTTGCATTTAATATCAATGAACAAGAGAAAAATGTCATCGAAAAAACCCATTTGCATTTAATATCAATGAACAAGAGAACCAGAAAAGAAAAGAAAGGAAAATGAAAGATCAAATCTTTATTATGAAAAAATTAATAAAAACATCAAAAGTTAGAGAGAAAGTGAACGTTGAATTACCTCCAACAATGTTCAAGTCCACACTTTTTAAGAGTTCCTCTTTTCATTTCCTAAAACTCTCATCATCCTGAAAAGAACAACGAAAAAATCATGCAACAAATCTTACAATAACTCATGCAAGGTTACAGAAAGCACTACGCGGTCTAGGCGTTGGGCCCGACACCTAGAGCCTAGGCATCTAGGCGGAAGCCTAGACGGGACCTAAGCATTTTCCTACTTTTTATAATTATAATTACTCATAGTAAATGCTAATATTATAGAAAGTTTAGGCGCTAGATTGACACCTAGGAAAAGTTCTTAAGTGGTGGTGGAGGTTGTTTTGTTTAAGGTCGGAAGAGATTGAGGAGGTGTTCATAGTTGGAGTTTGAAGAAGGTTAGAGGGTCTTGAGACTACAATGAAGAAAAGCATGATTAATGCATAAAGGGTGCAGTCCATGTAGGCAGACCACACTTCCTTAGGCGCTCCCAATATATAGACGGACAGGCTAAGTACTGTCTAGGTGCTAAGCGATAGGTAGACGACCAATGTACTGCATAGGCTAGGCGTACGCTTAGGCAGGCTAGGTAGAGACTTTTTAAAACACTAAATCCATGAGAAACATATTACAATAAAAAGAGAAGAAAAAACTTTAGAAAGAATCCTGTTCGGGGAGGGAGTAGATGAGATTGGAGATTGTGGGGATAAGGAAGGATTTGTGGTTTTTGGGTAATAAAACTCAACTCCTTGTAGCTTATGTAGGGTGTCAAAGGATTGGACTTGAATGCAATAATTTGATTAGGGAAATGGAGAAGGCAAGAGGTCACATTTTATGGGTAGTAAAGTTGAAAGGTTAGTGCAAAAAGAAAACGGAGAAAAATCAAAGGAAACCAATGAAACCATAAAGGGCTAACAGGCTACCAAAGGATATATAGTGTAGATCTGACTAGCATTTTCCTTTTTCTTTTTGATGTTGTTAATCGTAATATGGGTTATGGGGTAAATTACCAGATTCGTATTTTAATTAGGCCCATTTGACCAATAGAACACTTTAAATAGGCAACTCCCATTAAGGCATTTCAAACGAGTCAAAGGTGCAACAAGACCTAAATTTTCGTGGGCGGCTAATTTTCCAGTGAGGAATTGTTATTTTTTGCTGGAAAAATTTCTTCTGCTCTTAACCAAAATTATTAAATCTATACCCAACCTATCATAATATGCAAAAAGGGAGGGCATTTATGTGAAATTGACCCTTTAAAAAGCTCATTCTTTCCTATCTACACTATCTAGAGTTTTGTGTAGTAAGTTTGAGGGTTGAGGTGGAGCCTTTGAAGGGGATAATTGGGAGAGGAAAGGAGTGGGGATTAGGGAGAAGAGGGTGATAATAGTGGAGGCCACTGATGATAATGGGTTAGGGGAAAGGGTGGAGAAAATGAGGAGGTGATGATGGAGTGTGGATAGGAAAAATTAAATTAAAAGGTCAATTTTGCATAAACCCCTTATCTTTAGGTGTGAATTCAATAAATTTGAGAGATCGGGGGTCGAAGAAATTTTTTTTAGTAAAAAATAATAGTTCCTCGCCGGAAAATTAGCCATTGATGAAAATTTGGGTGTTGTTGCATCTTTTGTATCTTTGACTCATGTATAATGTCTTAATATAAGGTTACCTATTTAAAATTCCCTATGGTAAAAGGGGTCTAATTAAAATACCAATTTGGTAACTTACCCGTTGGTTATGTGACACTTTAAGTTGATTGCACACTTCCATTTTCTTATTGATGACAAGACATTGAACTTACGTAGTGTGGATATCAGAAGTGGAGATGTGAAGTGCTTACCATATATAAAGATAGACGGTGCTTAGTATGGACGAGATTTTAAAACAAAATATGGATCGTTGAGGCTTGTGTCAATTATACTGTTTGAGATTATTTTCTTATGCAACAGTCACTTTCAGACATTGCTACCAACTTTTACTGAATTTATATTTTTTATAATATGTACTTATTTGAAGAATGACTTCTTTACCAGTGTCCGCTGACATGGCACATGGTGTGCACCCCAACTTCTCTGACAAGCATGAGGAGCACCATAGGCCAGAACTACAGAAGGGCCTTGTGATTAAACATAACGCCAATCAGCGTTATGCAACAAGTTCTGTTACAGCCTTTCTTTTCAAAGAAGTTGCTGATATCTGTAAACTTCCAGTTCAGGTATTGCCCAATTTACCGGATGTTATATAGTAGTTTGTGCTGTGATTACTGTTTTTGATCATATGACTGCTGGCTTAAATGTCAACATGACAATAACCTGCTTGATTGAAACGCATGAAGCTGTGATGAATTCTCAGTTGCATATGGCTGATATAAAATGCATGCCTGACTAGATGTATCCCTTAACTGCCAAGAAGTCTTCTAAGTTTTATGGTTCGCCTCCTCTTTTTCCTGACATTTGTCCATGAATAGGCACTATTCAAAGAGGGTAAGGGATTCTGATTTTAGATTTGTGCACGTTTTTTGACAGACTTATTGTTTCCATTTTATGAGGTTTTTTGGTGTAATAAATCTAGGAGCTTAGTTGAGCTTGAATTGGCTTTCTTGCACGCATTTTTTTCCAAATGGAAGTTGATTCAGAAATTCATGTTTAATAGTTTGAGGTCATGCAGGTGCATATCTGCAACATGCATGCATGATGCATCTATTGTATTTGTACATGTCTTAGTATTTTCAGGTCTTATTTTTCCCTAATTTGTTCCCCAATGCTTTTTCCCTTTAAGATTCTAGACTGCTGGTTACCAAAGAAGTGAACAGAAAAGGATGCCACTAAGCCAAGTTGTGTTCTATGTTGCTACTAAGTACCAACTAAGAAAGACTGTTGCTGGCATATTACCAAGAGATATGCTTCATGCTTTGCCAGTTGGCCTTAACTAAGTTTCTGCAGCAAACCTTTTAATAATATCCTCTGTGTAAGGGTAAGATTTATGATAGACTAATTTCTTAGTTACTTGAGTTTCCTAGTAATATCAGATAGCTGAGGATAAACTTTCCTCCAGTTTGCGCTTAGAAACAGGATAAACAAATAAGATGAGGAAGCAAAAATGTCAGAAGAGTGTATCTATTTTCACACAGTGAACATGCATCTTGCAAATTTCATTACTGTTACAAACCTTTATGAGTAGTATATGATGCAAAATACTGTTTGCATATATTTTCCAGCATTAAAATGATATTTTTACTAGATCTTATTGCAAAGAAGAAATGAAGATATTATTTAAAAGAACTAAATTGCTTTTTATAATGATGCTAATTTTGATGCTGCTGATCTATAATATCCATATAGGAATTTGTTGTGAGAAATGATATGGGATGTGGATCTACGATTGGCCCCATACTTGCCTCAGGTGTTGGTATCAGAACCGTTGATTGTGGTATTCCTCAACTTTCAATGCACAGGTGCGTCTACCTTTATTTTGATTTTCCAGATAATATTTCCTTATGCAAGCTTGTAGGCTCCCGAAAAAGATGAAACGATTGATATTCTCTTAACTGTTTTAGTTGTGAAAAAAAACAATATCCTATAAGAGAAGAACGTAGATTTGACTTCTCCTTTGTTTAACGTGAGTTCTGTGTGGCGGAAGAATGCCTCACTCAATGCTTGACTCGAGTTTGCTTCCCGTTGACGATCAGAACAAGATCGCTTCAACTTAAGAGGAGAATCAACCTCTGTTGATGGCTTAGATCGCGAGAACCGAGGTTCGGGTCTCAAAAGAACTCTCAGAACGTGAGTGCTAGTTCTGTATATGCGCATCCCAGTTAGCCTCTTCATAGCTGCTCATGGCTATTTATAAGCCTTAGCGTGTAACTGGTGCGCTGAAATCATTAAGTCGAGGCGTAACTGATTCCTCAAGTTTAGTCCACGTAGGCTGATTGGGTCTTTAAGGCCGCTAACCGCCTGGCGTCAAGCCTCACTTGGTATGACGAACCTCGCTGCGTGGCGAGGTTTGTCTGACGAGACGAACCTCTGTACGCAGTGAGGTTTGTCCAACAAAGTGGGCTTTGCTATACAGTGAGCTTCGTCTTCTGAGAAAACTTCGTCTTCACTGACGAGTTTGAGCTTCGTCTTCACTAACGAGCTTCGGACTTCACCTCCAATGACAAGCTTTGTTGTCTGAGACGAGGTTCGTCATTGTGATGACCCTCGTCATGTCTGTGTCACCTCCAATGACAAGCTTTGTTGTCTGAGACGAGGTTCGTCATTGTGATGACCCTCGTCATGTCTGTGGTGGGCATCGACACTCATTTGTTTCTTGGTATTTTTTTAATGCCTACAAGATCCTCTTCAAAGTTTTCAGACCTGAATTGGGTTGTATGACGTCTGAAATACTTTGAACCTTTTTTGGTTATGATGAGCTTGGTTTGCATGATGAGCTTGGCCTCTTGGCGAGCTTGGTCTCTAGGGGTGAACTTCGTGGTTCGAAGCGAAATTTGTCATTTCTGAGCTAGCTCTGATTCTTCAAGACGAGGCTCGGCTGTTTGTTGAGTCTCGTCACTCTGTCCGAGCTTCGTCAGGCCTACGTGGAACTGTCAGTCAGGATTTGTCAGCATTAAATGTTGCACGCCTCCGTCATCGCGCTTTTCCAGGCCCGATAAATGGTAGCCAGCTAGGGCCTCAAGATCCGCGGAGCGGATCTCGGCCGCTGATTTGATTTACCGCCTATAAATAGGCGAATGCCTCTGACGAATTTATCGTCTTCTTCAAGTTTCAAAATTTTGGACGCTTCGTTTGCACAGAACTTTCGCCTTTTATTTTCTTCAAATTTTCAACTCCATGACCTTAAAGATCACTGTCGGCAAAGGGAAAGGCAAGAAAGCCACTAGCTCTTCAGGCGAGGCCGCAGCCTTACCTGTTTTCTTAGGAAATGCACTCGAACGCAAGTTTTGCTTTTTAGAATAGTTGAACTTCGCCTATTTCGGGCCTGAGTCTTCGAGAGAGACGAACAGTTTCTCTTTTTGAGACGAAGTTCATTTGATAGATGACTTTCGTCTGTTAGGCGAGGCTTGTCGGTCTAATGAGTCTTGTCTTTTCTGACGAGGCTCGTTTATCGGACGAAATTCGTCTGTTTGACGAAGTTTGTCTTGAAGGACGAAGTTTGTCTTGTTGACGAGGTTCACATGTCTGATGAGGCTTGTGCCATTTTTTGGGTGATGCTCGTCTTTTGGCCAAGGTTTACCCTATCTAGCTTGCTTGGGCTAACTTCACTGTTTTGTCCCTTGCAGTTTTGCATTCTTCTACTCTGATTGCTCCGCATGTTGACATCGGATCGGATAACACTAAGACGGGAACAGACCAACCCGATTATCTCATGCTCGAGAACCTTCCCACATTCTAGAACCGAAGTCGGGAAGTATTTTACCTACTCTTTGAGCCTCCAAGTGCTGTATTAAGGCGTTTGATCACAGACGCCTCTTTGGAAACAGCTAATCGAAGCCGTGTTCCAAAACCTGTTTTTCTGTTCGGCGATCCTACATCCGACCCCGATGTGTTGGACCTTGGAGAATATCAATGGCTTAGGACGGTGGGCAAACGACGTTTCTTTACACCTCCTATGTTGTGTGACAATTGCCTTCTTTCCTTAAAGCAGCTTCAGTCCCTAAGAAGATGGACTGGGAGTTGACCCCGTCACCCCGATACAGGATGTGGTCACATGCAGATATTTCTCTAAGAGCGGTGCTAGAGTATACAGCGATTGTCGTTACATTACCAGTTTACACCCCGGGTTAGTTCAGAGGGAGCTACCTGCTAGTGAGATGGTCGCAAAAGCAAACACTTTCAACCGCACTTTCTTCAAGGCAAAGAGGCAATTCCAGCCAAGGACTTCAGAACTCCCGGTTGGTTCCGTTAGAGTGCTACACAGTAATGGCCCTGGATGACTGAATTCATCTTGTAGGAAAACTACGACGATCTGTAGGAGTACGGTCTTCTTACGCCGATCAGGGAGACACGGTTTGGACTAAAGAACAACGCCCAACAATTTTTTAGCGTGTTAGAGTTGTATAACTCTGACACACATATTCTTCACTCCTGACGGGAAGTTAGGGATTGCACTCCACGAGATGGTGGAAGACTTGGGGTTGTCGTTGGGAGGATATCCTTACGAAGAGTACATCCCAGGGCACAGGGAATTTGTAGACCTAGAGAAAGACCATCCCTAAGTCGTTGCTACCTTTTGGGAGTTGATATGCCATTATCATATTTGTTTGTATACTGAGGGGCGTACAGATAAGAAGGGCGCCATATCTCTCAGTCATAGCACCTGGGCACATTATCTTTATAAGAACTTGAATCGGTAGGACCCGGTGGCGCCATTTAACCCCTGTGATATGATTGAGTCGGCGAAGCGTTCCTTTGCTCATCCCCCCATATTCTACGTGACGCCTTCAGACGAATGCAGTTATGCAGCCAGGGTAGAGTTCGAAAGCTTCTTTCATCAAGCCGAGGGACAAATTTCTCACAAGACATTATTAGCGTGCTACCTCATGTTGTGGCTGAAACACATTATCGTCCCCTCCAACAGCTTCGAAACCCTGCTGATGGAAGTGGCGTTCTCAATCGTTCGTTTGGCGCATGGCCATTCATATGCTCTCCTCCCAGCCATGGCCGCTCGCATTCACGGGGGGTTGTGGTGGTTGTGTGTTTATTTTTGTCGAGGCATTGAGAATCCTTGGGTGGAACTTCCTTACGCCTATCTCATGCCATGGAACTTCCTTACGTCTATTTTTGTCGAGGTTCGTCTGATGGGCGAAGCTCGTAATATTTCTTAGGCGAGGCTTGTCTTATATTCCAGTTTGGCTTGTTTGAGCTAACTTCCTCCTTTTGTTCTTTGCAATTGTTCATCCGCATGTTCTCGCTTCTTTGTGTAGTGATATTGGTTCAGATGATCTCATCCTTGAAAATCTCTCAGTCTTTTAGAATCGCAGTCAGGAGGTGTTCCGACAACATGCTGAGTCTTCGAAGTCAGGAGATGTTCCCAACCATGTTTGCTTATTCAACATGCTGAGCATTTTCAAGCATGCAAACCTTCATTTAAGTCTCGGAATATGTGGCGGCTTCACGGACCCACTGAAATGTTTATCCTTCTGAGGGTCATAGTTCCTCAATCCCATCTGAAGTTCGATGGTCTCAGTGGACTTACGATTTTTCTCGCGAGCATTAGCAACTATCTTAGATATACCCTCGATCACTCTGCAACTTGCTCGTGGGGGGAGTTGATGGAGATGAAGATTTTTTGCCAAGAAATGGGAGATGAAATTTTAACAATAAGAAGCTGAAGTGTTGGGTGAAGGGGAAGCTTGATATTGCCGTGAGAAACCAGGTGATGTTTTACGACGATAAGTTGCACAAGAAGGCGTTGGAAGACATTGAAGCGGAGCGTCGAAGGTCATTGGATGAACTTGTAAGCGAACTTTATAATGTTGTTCGATTTATCTGAGTTCAATCCATGTAATTTTGACTTTTGTCGCTGTAGATTCAATGAATAAAATTGTAGTTTTTTCCATCAATTATTCACTTCTTCTGTGCAATCAATAATCGCAACTTAGGATTTTTAGCAAACCCCCAGCTATCAACGGACTTGATGTGTCTTTACCAACTACCGTTTGAGTTGGACTAACCATGTTTTAACCCTTAGCATGATAAGTTGTCGAGGAGTTTCTCTTAGGCTTAATGTTAAGATTTCTCATTTATCCTTAGTTGTTTTAGTTGTGAAAAAACGAGATCCTATCGCCTGGTAAGAATCTCTTTACAATCGTTTTTTCTCAAGTACAGAAGAGGAGAAGGTAGATTTGACTTCTCTTTTGTTTAACGTGGGTTCTGTGTGGCGGAAGGATGCATCACTCGATACTTGAGTCGAGCTTGCTTCTCATTGACGATCAGAACAAGATCGCTTCAACTTGAGAGGAGAATCAACCTCTGTTGATGGCTTAGATCGCGAGAATCGAGGTTCGGGTCTCAAAATAACTCTCAGAACGTGAGTGCTAACTCTGTATAAGCGCGTCCCAGTTAGCCTCTTTATAGCTGCTCATGGCTATTTATAAGCCTTAGCGCGTAACTGATATGCTAAAATCATGGAGTCGGGACGTAACTGACTCCTCAAGTTTAGTCCACGTGAGTTGACTGGGTCTTTAAGGCCGCTAACCGCCCGGCGTCGAGCCTCACTTGGTATGACAAACCTCGCTGCGTGGCGAGGTTTGTCTGACGAGACAAACCTCGGTACGCAGTGAGGTTTGTCCAACAAAGCGGGCTTTGCTATACGGTGAGCTTTGTCTTCTGAGAAAACTTCGTCTTCACTGACAAGTTTGAGCTTCGTCTTCACTAACGAGCTTCGGACTTCACCTCCAATGACAAGCTTTGTTGTTTGAGACGAGGTTCGTCATTGTGATGACCCTCGTCATGTCTGTGGTGGGCTTCAACGCTCATTTGTTTCTTGGTGTTTTTTTAGTGCCTACAAAGTTGGTTGATTAAATGTGAGGCTGCTTCATGTATATAATTAAAATCAACATTAAAGATTGGGATGCTTGAATTATGCTAGTCTAGTAATTCGAGAGATCATAATTCACGTAGCCTGTTAACCAAATAAAGTGAGATGTGGGGAATCATGATAAAAAATAGTTTCCTGATAAGAATAATTCCAAGATAAATCAATTGGAATCTAATATCAGAATCCTACAAGCTGTATCTTGTACTTGAGAGATTATAATTCATGAGTCTGCCAACCCAATGATGTGAGATCTTTAGAATAATAGATGCATGATAAGAATAGTTCCATGATAAGAATAATTCCAAGATAAATCAATTGGAATCTATTAACAGATTTATCCTACCAGCTATATCTTGAAACTTATGAATTGACTACTTATTTGGAATCCTAGTTTATATTTATTCCCCGATTATGTCATTCTCTTTTGCTCCTTCATACTTATTTTCAAGAGATCGTATACTGAACTGATATATTCGTTAAAATGGACACATTCATTGCCATGTTATTAAAAGAAATAACTTGTTTTAGGAGTCAGGAGAGGGACAAGGACATGGATAGAGTTAAAAAGCCTCATGCCCTCTTAATTTAATTTAGTTTTTTAACATGTGGTGAACCTGATATTTGTTTAAGCAAGGATTATTCATGTAGTTTCTCTGTGCTGAATCTGCTTATCAATGTTTGTAAGAACATGGGAGATAATTTCTACGGATGAGAGCTGGTTGCGCTTATATTATGTAACTGTTTATCGTTCTCTTTAATTGCCACTCTAGACATTTTCTCCTTCTTCTTAAGTAGTACGCAGCCCTACAAATTTTGGTCGAAGAACTTCAGGAAGCGAGAAACACTTAATTTGATGAATTCTTAATTTGATAAAATTCTGCACGTAATTACTTGGTAAAAATAATTAAGCTTATTGTCTACCATCCTTTCACATTGTCTTTATTACTAATTTGCAGAAATTCCATTCTGACTTCTAACTTTGGTGACAAATATTGAATTGCAGTGTGCGGGAAATATGTGGAAAAGAAGACGTGGATACTTCTTACAGACATTTTAAAGCCTTCTTCCAGATTTTTTCTAGCATCGATAAGAAGCTAAGTGTTGATTTCTAGTTTATATGACTTTTACGTTCATTGTTCAATTGAAATTTTATTGTTTATCAGGAGAGCATTGTTATTTTATTTTTTACATCTCTTTGATTAACGAGATTGTATTGGTTTTGCCTACTACTTCTATATTTAGAGTAAACAGAATAAAATTAACAGACTTTGGGATAAACAAATGCAAGCACTCTTTTGTCACCCGATTGTACGATCATTTTTCTTTTTTTAGTATGAAACTTCGCCCTACGCAGAAAAATGCTCAAGAACAGAGGCTTAGGAACAACATGGCACCGTGATTCAAAAATCTACACTTGATTGTTTCATCTCTTAACTCTTTTCCTCACCTCCAATCCCCCCAACCCCACCCACCCAAAAAAAAAAAAAAAAAACACAACCCCCACCTCCTTTTTGTGTGTATTTTTTTCTAAAATTTATTGACTTTTTCCCCCGGTTACATAAAAATGTTATTCTCTCTTCTCCATTGTCATGAAACTTATGTTCCACTAAACAAATCGAACATAAAAAACCATATCCATTCCAAGTTTGGATAAAGAGAACACTATATATCAAATTGATTGCCCTGTTGACCAAAGAGATGCAACTACATATATTCTTAGTCCTATGACACCAACATTCCCTAAAAAAGTACCGAGTGAACAAAGGAGACCTATCTTCTTCATCACTTCTTTTTTTTTTTTTTTTTAATCACCATGCAATCAGCTCAAGACTTATTCCCATTAGAGCTCTTGTTGGGGTTTGAGTTGAGGTCAAGTATTGGGCCTTTGTTGTTGCCGTTGGACTTGGCTAGCTTCTGCTTGAGCTCGGAGAGCAAGGCCTGGTTCTCTTGGTTCAGAAGCTGCGCCTTCTTCCTCAGCCTCTCGTTCTCCTTCATTATGTAGCAGTTCTGCAGGTACAACTTCGAGTTGATTCTGTCCATCGCTTTCTGGAAAATAATGAAAAAAACACGCGGGATGTTACAATAAAAAAAAGCTTAATATTAAAGAAACAATAATTAAGTACACAAGTTCTGCTAAACTAATTAAGCACTATAGGTTATGGGCTCGGGAGGATCGATCGTGAAATTTTATGATTTATATTTTCTATTAGTTTTTTTTAAATACATACTATATAATGGAGTAAAAGATCCCTTTTTCGTTATTATCTTTTTTTAAAATGGAATTTAATGGGTTATGGATCGAGACAGGATCAGTTCTGGTATACAAATATGAAGATACAAAAGCACATCTTTTTTGAATGCCGAATCATCGTTTTCTCGGTGTAAAGCAATAGAAAGAACGTATTTCTTAATATAAAAAAGCTACAAAAATAGAAAATCATCAATCTATCTATATATATAATATTAATCCCCTGCCTGCATCTGCATGCCCTACCCTACCAAAGAAAGAATAAGAAACCCACCACCCCACGAGCTTTTGCAGCCAAGAATTTAAAAAAATAAATAAAAAAGTACCAAGTACAACAAGCCCCACCATTTTTATACTAAAATAAACAATAAGATATCCTAAACAATAAGCTTTGAAAGTTTTCCAAAAGATCGAGGAAGCTAAACATTGGCATCTCTCTCTCACCTTTCGTGCTCTTGGCTGTCCTTCAACAGAACACAAGCTAGCTTTGAGTTGTAAGATATACAGAGGAGAAGGAAACTAGCAAAAATAAATAAAGAAAGAAGGAGAGAAGAGAACCCCTGAGAGTTTTTTTTTTTTTTTCCTCGCGGAGTTTTGAGTTGTGGGGTTTAGGGTGGTGGGGGTGCCGGTCTCTATATATAATAGTTGAGGAGAGGTGTAGAGAGAGAGAGGCAAGGTTTTCTAGAGAGAGAAAGTAATGAGATTGAGTGGGCAGAGCACAGGAATCATGCATGTGTGGGTGTAAGCAAGCAAGAGCAAGAGTTCAATGTTTGTATGCTTATTAGCTTCCTATTATTACGCCCTCATGCCTATGATTAGAGCCGAGTGGCAGGTCACGTGACGGGGCACACACTTAACTATTGTATCGTGTACAGGGGTGGCCGAGGGTATTTTGGTAGTTTTCGTCGTCCCTCAAATGGTATGATGATGGGTTGGGTTCGGCCCAAGATTCGCAATGATAACCTCGACCGGGCCCTTGATAATCATCGCTTGGAAAAAGCATCATTGCTCTTTTGTTTTTTTTTTTTTTTTTTTTTTTCCCCCCC